CAGACGTAGACTCTACTTGAATGTAATTTGGATATTGTTAATCCGTAAAATAATTGTGTATATATATATCACCCTCTACTCTTAATGATTTTAATCGCATTTTTTAGCTAAATAATCTGTGATTTCTTTAATAATTCTATAAATGCCTTTCATGTTTTTGTTATATGATTGAACATGTTTTGTTTTTGCTGATAATTTTACTAGCATTAAGTAATTTTTAACATAGGCCATTGAATATTTGTGCTATGACGACTGTGTAAAATGTTATATTCCTTATAATTCAAACGAAAAACATTAATTAACATTACATTGAATAATATTAATTAGCGAAAAGATTTTTAACGCAAAGATAGTTTATTAAAACATTAAATTAAGTTACAGATCTTTTAGTTGAGGAAACTTTAAAATACCTTGATAAGTTATTTTGACGTTTATCACTTAATAAGAACTCTTAAAATATGCTCTATAAATATCAGTAATATCCATGTTAGTTGGATACTTTTTCCATTAATTAGTGTTTTGTTTCTGCTCATGGTTCTATTACACTGGGAAACATTTTTTTTTCCTTTTCCGGTAAAATATTTTTTAACAGATCTTGGATACTTTCGTATCTCAAATTTCAAATCTGCAACCAGATCTGATTATGATTGTATCAGTATTAATTTAAATTATATTAAATCTTAGCAAAAATCTTAAGCTGTATTAGCAATTTGTTTTCACATACTTTTATTTGTTTACCAACAGCTCCAACAATGAGTATAAGAAGCGAAAGCGCTGGTCAAAGTCTACAGAGATCTTTCTGCATAAGAATGAAATCTACATTGACCAAACGCGGTTGCCATTTTAAATCCTCTGGCTACAGAGTAAGATATTCATACTTATTTCTAACACTATTTTATATTCATTGAAAATTATCTATTAAGATTACACAAAATCATATATTGTTTAATAAAAAATTGTGCATTATCCTTGTGAATATGACAGTCATCAATTTTCAATTACAGGTGGACAGTTATCAATTTTCATATCATTTTCAGTTAATTATAAGATAACCAGTATCCATTTTCATATCATTTTCAGTTAATTATAAGATAGCCAGTATCCATTTTCATATCATTTTCAGTTAATTATAAGATAACCAGTATCCATTTTCATATCATTTTAAAATAAGTATTCAATTTTCATATCATTTTTGGTTAATTATAAGATAACCAGTATCAATTTTCGTATCATTTTGAAATATATAATCAATTTTCATATGATTTCTGGTTAATGATAAGGTGCCTAGTATCAATTTTTTATGGAGTATCCTATAATTTTTAATATAATATGTTAATTTGTTACTTTAAAAAATAATAAGGAGAATTTTAAAGATAATTTACTTATTTGTAGATCAATTTATTAAATTCAGAAACTAACGATGCTGCGATCTCGACTTTTAAATATAAGTGAACATTGACCAATTTCTGATTGAAACTAAATTTGTTATAAACTTGGTCTGCTACTTCCTAAATTTTATAAAAGAAAAAAAAATCCTATAAAATTATTTATTTCAAAAAGATGTTATTATTATTTTAAAAACGTTTCTTAAAATTGAATTTAAAAGGTTACACTATTTCTAAGAAACAATTTAATATCCAAAATAATTTGTCACAACTATAAAATGTTTTAAGTAAAGGCTTCTTCACCTTTGTTTATTAAGAAAAATGAACTTTATATTAAAAAATGAATTTTAAAACGATAGTAAATTAAGACAGTATAACAAGCTAACTATGCTGCTGCCATCTATCATTTAAATTTATTACTTATACACATAGGATGGAACTTGCTGTAAAACTTCCCTATGCGAATGGTGCTGCCATCTGTTATTATTAATGTAAAGCACTGAAGAAATTAACAATTAAGCATGAAAACATTGTTTACTCCGTGAAATAGATTAAATGTGAAACTTTTATTTCAATAAATTGTTTCAATTAACAATGACTTTTACTTTTTTTAAGACTATTTACGTAGAAAGTTAATATTATATTTTTTAATTATTCTTATTTAAACCTAATTGCACAACGAATTGGTTTAATTTCCTTCGTGTATTTCTTATTTCTTTAATATTTTCAGGTTGTACTAGTTTTATCACATCTTAGGCCTCAATATAATTTTTCCTCTTCCTCGAGGAAACAGGCACCTACAGTCATGGGACTTGTGGGTTTAGCCATAGCCCTTCCTCCTCCTTCAGTCAACGAGCTACGGCTAGAACCCGACATGTTTGTAACAAGGCTGACATTCGATTTCCGAATATCTCACTGTGAGCCAAGGTAAGACTACATACTATATTCAAACATTTCTAACCATTATATGGAAACGTTCCTTTGCAATATTAACAAGTTTACTAGTAACAATAAAACTCATGCAAATATTCAAAAATCTTTGACTAATAAATGCTAGGCAAAGCATTGTCTGCAAATATTAAATATTTTTCCTAGATAGGTCTTACATACAATTGTCCAATTCACCCCCAATATTTTGTAATATATACTCAGCCCACATTGAGTCGATATTTTATTTTTTAACAGTCGTTTAACAGTTTGAGTTTACTGCAACTTATGTTCAACTACGTAGCCTTGTATTTTTGAACCGAATCCAGAAGACAAGGGAATTCCCGGATCAAGTATTGGGAGAAATTTGCCTTGTTGGTGGAAAGACTTGTTGATGGAACTAACCCGCATTTGCGTTACATGGAGAGGTAAACCATGAAACCCTCCCATGGTTAGCCTGACGGCAAGTAGATTCTAACCCATGATCCGTCTATCACTGTTTATATCTTGCATCAGAACTGTGGTCGGTGCGAAATTCGTATCAACCAGCCATAGCTGGAATTCAAACCCGGTTCACCTCATTGGGAAGCGAACGCTTTCTCCTCTGGGCACTGATATTAATTTAATTTTCCGATTTAACTAAACCATTTTCATCAACTATTCAGCCATGATAGAACCTATATTTAAATGCCTAATCAAAGCTGAGCCCGCACAAAGGTCGGTACCTTTGTCAGTAGACACTGTTCCTGTAGACTTTTGTTTAGTCAATTATTAGTTCTACTAGTATTAAGATTAAATTGCTGCTTTAAAACTGCAGTAACGATTGTTGTTTTTAATTGAAGTAATGAGTTTCTTTTAACTAAAAAAAACTAAAGTAAACTTTGATTAAAAACATGCATGAACGTATATAATTTTCATGTGGGAACTGCTGCTACGTTAGATTCTTTTTCGTTTCACATCGCAGTCTGACACGAACACTTCTTGCATAACATTAACACACATAACTTGATCATCGAAGAAACTTTCATGATCTAAGTCCGCTAATTTGGAATGTTGAATATCCTTTCACTTTCTGGACTTTTGATTAATATAATACAGCTTCATTGATCGAAATTATCACAACAAAACAAATTTACACGAATCCTCGAATCAATAAATTCTTTCCATTGTATTGCTAAAAGCTGAAAAAGACCAAGCATAAATAGGTGTTAATGCTAAATTATCTATAGATCCATATGCTTTGTCTTTTCCATTAAAAAAAAACTAACAAAATATTGAGAAAAAAAATCATGATTTTAAAAGCGGAGTCTAAAATCTGATTGCAAGATTTATACCATACCTGTAGATTTCCATACCATACGCATATGTGTAGATACCATACGTGCAGATTACCATACGATACGTGTAAATTACCATACCATACGTGTATGTGCAGATGCCATACGGGAAGATTACCACACCATACGTGTATGTGCAGATACCATACGTATAGATTACCATACCATAAGTGTATGTGAAGATAATATACGTGTAGATTACCATTTATACCTAGCAATAATTTTGTGTTTTATTATTCTAATAGGGTATCTGAACTCTTGGACTACACGGCCGAAGAAATAACCGGAACAAGTATGTACACACTGTGCCACGCACAAGACATCGAAAAACTGCGAAAGTGCCATATAGATTGTAAGTACTATTTTGTATTACAAAAAGAAAAACTAAGTACGTGCATTTCTATTGTGTACAAATTCACATTCTATTGCTATTATTTACAAAAATACAAAAGGCTTGGAACAATATAGTAATAAACCACACATTTTTCAAAGGTGACATTCTTATATATACTATAGCACTTCCTTAATATTATTTCTAGATAGGTACTTTAAAAGGTGTCAGATTTTACAAAGATAACAGTACAAAAACGACTTACAGAATACGTGGTGTCGAAGTGTCCTTTTCTTTTATCAAAAACGCTCTTTTGAACAATTTTAAAATGTGACTTATTATATTGCCCCAATCTTTAAATGCATATTATAAATTAAATTTTTTCATTTCAAATTTTATGTTGTCCCATGTTTTCTTTCTAGTTTAACTATATTAAAATTATAATTTAAATTATAAAGTTGCCAATATTGTGGTTCAACATGGTCAAGCATTTTTTGTTACCAGTGTTGAGGAAGTAAAAAATATTTTTTTATGTATTTTACTTATTTTGAATTTAACGATTGGAATTTATTATTATCAGTAGTTACAAATATTTTATCTATTCCTCTATTGAGTTAACAAAACTTTAATAATTTAAAATAATATCGACTTCCAACTAGATATCATATCTAGGATTTAAATTTTTTTTAAAAAAACTCTCAAGTAATAATGATTAAAAACCGTTTTTGTAGTTGTTGTAAATGCCGAATGAGTTTATGAAACTTATATATATAATGACATCCTCATGATTGAGTTAAGAATACCACTGGACCTTTTTAGCAGATCTTAGATACATTTTATCGTTGATTTCAAATCTGCCATCGGTTTCTCTCTTCAAGCTTCAGTTTTTTAATGACATTTTTAGTCTATTTTTGTCGAAATGCACAAGTATATAAACAAGGGGTCACGCAAATATAGGGGTCAACTTCTAGCGGAGGAAGGACACATTATCGGGATTAAGACTGCGTAGGAATCCAAGCCCGAAAATGTTGTCATACGCCGCTAGGGTGCAGTTGTATTTTGAACTGCTTCTACGGGTGCCTCTGAACAGGTCATAATACGGAAGCTCCCTCAGCCGCAGCAGCGTATGGCAACATTTTCGGTCATGAGTTCCTATCCAATTTTAATATTCATGATGTGCCCTAAATCTCCTAGAACATTGACAACAGTATCGCAACGTTGACGCAAGCCCCTGTTGTATATAACCTGTTTAAACTTGTACATTTAGGCAAAAAAAAGTAGATAATAAATGCCCTTTTATAAAATAATAAAACGCTTCAGGGGAAAACATAATTTTAAATTTGACAAAATTTTTTTCCCCTCTCTAATTAATACTAAAATTGCCTAAATTTCACTAATTCTTGTCTCAATGCTTAAATAATGCATATTTTAAGTAGTTTTTGTTTTTTTTTTCCTCTCAGTGATCCAAAAAGGGCAAGTAATGAGTGGTTACTATAGGTTAAT